CGCTATCCACAAGAGTCAACCGCTCACCTCCGATGCTGCAACGCAATTGCCAAAGGCAAGTCAAACCAAAGAACGTAAATCTACAAGAAGGGACAACACACACACGTTCAAAATAAAAGGAACGGGTTGGCTTTCCTTTATGGCCGTTCGCTAAAGGGGCGGTGGGCGAAAGGTAAGTGGGCGTGGCACCTCTAACCCACCTTTTTGGAGAGGGAATGAACCGCCATTGCCACAAATGCAACCCCCGACCACATAGGTCCCATATAGTTCCCTAGGGACCCCTTAGAAAAATTGCCAAAAATCACAATTTTCATTTGCGTTTATTCGCTTCAAAAATGTTAAATATTGATTTGCACAATACATTTTTATATACAAGACATTTTTATAAAACACCCAGTAACCAAAATAGACATCACTGGGGCGGCAGCCCAGCTTTACCACAGAAATGAATTCTAGTTACCTTATTCTTTCCCAAGGTTACATCACTGGGGCGGTAGCTCCAGTTAGGTCACACAGAAAGGAGAAGTCTACGTAGTAAGGGTTATAATCCCTAAGCGCGGCCGAAGGCCGCCTACGCAGAAAGAAATTCTACGCAAAAATACTGTGGACGCAAGTAAAAAGTGCGATTTTTGCCCATTTTTCTAAGGGGTCTGTAGGGAACCATAGGGGGCCTAGGTGGTCGGGGGTTGCATTTTTGACAATGGCGGTTGATGCCCTCTCCAAAAAGGTCGGTTGGAGGTGCCACGTCCACTCCCCCTTCGCCCACCGCACCTTTAACGAACGGCCATAATGGAAAGTTTCCCCAAAGGAACCCTGCAGCAAAGAACGTAAATCTATAAGAAGAGACAACTCGTTGAAGTGTGGCGAGTGAGTCTGGAAGGTTTGCAACAAAGAACGTAAATCTATTAAATTAACCTTCTTTGCTTTGGACTTACTTTTTTTGGTAACGTTTTCTCCTTTTATAGGTTTACGTTCTTTGGCGATGCTCACGTTCAAGATGTCCCGTCTTATTGATTTACGTTCTTCTTTTTTAACACATCATGATCACCCTGTAGGCACAGCTGTTTTGTGACACGTTTAATTCCCAAAACAAAAGGAAAATCATAAATAAATAAACCAATGGGTTCCGAAGTTGAGGCGAAAAAGCCAAAAATAAGTGTAAATGCTGGTGAAAATAATCCAAATTGTGCGCATTGGGTGCATCGCAAGAAACGTTACTGCAAAATGACAGTCAAGGCTGGGCAAAGGTATTGCGGAGAGCACCAGCCTTCCGTTTTTTCGGAGTCATCTCAACTCGCAACCGAGGCCGATGATAACGTGCGCATCCCTTGTCCCTTGGATGCAAAACATACAGTTTTTAAGAAAAAACTACAAAAACATCTGCAAATTTGTAACGCACGAGACAAAGGCGATGCTCCAGCATACATAGAAAAGGGCATAAATTTGGGCATGACCGATGTAGTATCTACTGACTACAGCAAATTAAGGATACATGATTTGCCTGATGAAGAATTCTATAAAATAGTATCAACTATAAAAGCGTTATATGCAAAATTTGTGGAAAACACCATAGAGTCGATACATCAGCATCACAAGTTGCTAGAAACGGAATTGGCGAATTCGGATTATGGCCCACGAGACGAGAAAGCACTTGCTACAGGCATCCGCACTCCTAGGTATATTGGACAGTGAAAAGCAAATACTGGCAAGTACGAGCTATGTAGAATTTGGTGCAGGTAAAGGCCAGCTTGCTTACTATTTAGCACATTTGCTAGTCACTACCGCTTCTCAGGTGGTGCTTGTTGACCGCATGTCGTTGCGTCACAAAAAAGATAATAAAATCGAAGATCGGTCGCTAGTGCACCGCATTCGTGCAGATATTGCTGACTTTCGCATGAGTGGCCTGAAAAAGTTGCGAAGCACACGACGCTGCGTAGCCGTTTCGAAGCATTTGTGTGGTGCGGCTACAGACTTGACGTTGCGCTGTATAACGCAACCTAGATGTATTGATGAAGATAGTAAATCTCCTGGCACTGAATATGTACTTATAGCACTGTGTTGTCACCACCGCTGCGATTGGCAAGTGTACGTAGGTAAAAGCTTTTTTCAAGAGCACGGGCTGACGAGTCGAGAGTTTGCTGTGATCACCAAAATGGCAAGTTGGGCAATCTGTGGAACAGGTATGAGTCGAGAACGAAGACGCGCATTAGAGGAACAATCACAAAAGCCCGAAGAGGTAGCTGATGCTAACTCCAAACAGCGACTGAGTTTGGCTGAGCGGGAACGCATTGGTGGCATGTGCAAACGTATTCTTGACTATGGTCGATTGCAATATTTAAGAAGCCATGGCTTTAAAGCGACGTTAAAGTACTATGTAGATCGAGATGTGACGCTGGAAAATGTCTGTCTTATTGCAAGAAAAATCGAGTAAGTACCTACTTATTTCTTTTGTTTTTTTGTGCAATTTTCAAAAAATAGCTTAATTTGCAGTTCCTCTGAGTGCCCAGAAGATGAAAAGGAGCCCTCCAACTACTGAAAAGATAGTTGTCTGTTTATTGAAATGTTGTAAATTGAATTGAATTAAATTTATGTATGTATGTATGTACATAAAAATTTCAAATGCGCCAACAAAAAGTCACGTTAAAACCTCTTGTGCAATGCCTAAATGTATGCAATGATTTCTTGCAGTCACTAAACCAACTCTTTCTCAACATCTTTCGAGGTATAATTTTCATATTTTTTGCCATTTATTTATGTAGTAGTTTATTTTCAACACTACTTTTATTTACTTTCATACATAAATTATTTGTATTTGCTTCGGTATTTTCTATCTCTGACAACAACAAGAAATTGCAATTTCCGCTTTTACTTCCCTTACTTGCGGTCGCTTATGTGCAAATACAAATGAATATTAATTTGCAAAAATCCCTTCACAACATTTTCTCAATTAATTTTTATTCACTGAAGAGTGCGACACAACGCCCACACGAACAGGAAAAACAATAAAGCGCTCGTATTCCACTGAACGAATGTATGAATGAAGGCATTAATGAATGGGAGTAGACGTTGAAAGGCAGTAGCTTAGCGGCGGGAATGTGATTAGCAGTACATGGCAATAAAAACGAAACAAAAATTGTGTTTATTAAAAAAATTGTGGGCAATTGCTGCTCCAATAAAAATTAAAAGGCACTCAATGCAAAAATGCATACATGTTTAGGTACACACATATGTTTATTATATAAGAATATTCATATATCGCATCCGGAATGACTAGGGAGGTACATATGTAGACGTAGTGGTGATAATTTAGATTAGCGCAAGTATATGTAAAGCGTTCAAAATATGTCAATCATTGAGGTGTCTGCTATTGTCTAATTATGGGCATTAGTTGCGAGACGGCGTGCCAAGGATCGATAGTAAATTATGCGGATATTCATAATCTACTGAGCTAAATTATTACGAGTGCTTTTGAGAAGAGCTATTGAGAGACAACTGGCGATTGGTGCCGGCGTTAGTCAGTGCATATTACATTAGCTTGCATAAAAGATGTACTTACATACCTCAGTATTTTTATGTAAGGTATGAGGCTTCTGAGCCTGAGCGAGATATATATGTAGATAGATATTAAAATGAGGTATGCACCGCGACCTAGTGATCTCCTCTTCACAATACTCCGTCGAAGCCTACACCGCTCAAGAATAGCAGCAGCGCCGTCGGAGGTAGGGAGTGAACGTTCCCATGACAGTCGGGTTTACGTAACCAGAAAGACTCAGATTTATGTATGTGCATGTATCTGGCCAAGGACGGTCACTCCAGCATCACTCCCCAAAAACTCTTAGGGGAATTTGTATGCTGCTACAACAACAACAACAAGAGGTAGGGAGTGAATTGTGCTTAAGTTATGGCCACATCCAGACTAGACTTTCCTCACGCCTTCTGCAGATGGCATCACTCGATAAAAATATATAGTGGTGTGTCTCTGGTCGAGTCGCAGAGCCGACATAGATCGCTTGACCATATTCCCAGCTTATACAGATGCCCTGTTAGTATGCAGTGTCCTGTAAGGATACCTGTCAGTATTCTAAGTTTCTCCGTTTTGGAGGTTAATCAAGTTTAGGAATATCTTATTGATGTACCATCCCAGTAGACTCTTTGCCTGGTGCAGTCCCACTGAGCCAGGTTAGCTTAAATCCTTAAGAGCATTCCTCTCCTTGTTTATTCTACTCAGGTAAGAGTTTAGCATACTGCAATAGCCATAGCGAAGTCGGTAGCCCCAGGGAGCGTGCAGCCTCGATGGAGTCTGTCCATAGGGACAGGGCGTCAGTAGGGTGGGGTTCAGTGGGCATAGGAAGAGATGTTGTGTGTCATGGGGCGTCTCTCCGCATGCCGGGCATTCGTTTATTCTGCTCAGGTCTGAGTTCAACCTTTTGCAGTAACCAGAGCGCAGTTAGGCTATTGAGCTCCGAGTCTCCCGAGGCAGACGAAGTTCTGTCTCGTCCACGTCTGGTGGTTGTATGCCCAGTTCGTAGAGATGCCTTCAGACGTGCCTTGGCGAGGGCACTGCTCTTCTGCGAGCAGTCTCCTGTTCGGGTGCTCGCGTCCCTACCAGGAACTGCTTGCAGAGCATTGTGTTATGCTCCTTGATGGGGAGCATCTGGGCCTCGTCGTGCAGGTGGTGTTGGGGCGGCATCAGAAGGCATCCAGTCGCAGTCTGATATGCCGTGTTCTGGCTAGTCTGTAGCTTCGTCCACTGCGTCCTGCTACTCCCTGGTGACCACACGGGCGCTGCCTAATGTAGAACCGGCCGGCCAATCGCCTTGTATGTTGCCAACAACGTTTTCTTGTCTTTGCCCCAAGTGCTGCCGGCCAGCGACTTGAGGACCCTGTTGCGGCTGTGTACTATGTTGTAAATTGCGGTTGTTTACGCCGAGAAGGAGGTCAGACTGTCGAAGGTAACTCCGAGGATTTTTGGGTTATTCACCGTCGGAATTGGTTCGCCATCGACGTGAATACACAGCTGCAGTCTGACCTCCTTCGTCCAGGTAGTGAATAAGGTTGCCGAGGACTTTGTAGGGAGGAGGTTAGGTTCCTTTCTGTGAAGAAGCGAGAAAGCTCGGAAAGATAGCCGTTTACTTTCGAACGCAAGTCATTAATTCCATCCCCAGAGCAGTCGTCAGCGTAAGAGACAATACAGACTCCCTCTGGTGGTTGAGAAAGCTTTGATATATAGTAATTAAACAATAGCGGGGATGGAACACCACCCTGTGGTAACCCCTTGGTTTGCTAGTTTTGTCTCTAAAGCTTACTGGCGAATGTCGACCACTCAGATAATTCTCCGACCACCGTTTGAGTCACTGAGGGAGAAAGGAAGCATAAACTTCTTCTAGTAGCAAGGAATGACAGACGGTGTCAGGCACCTTTGACAAGTCGAACGCTACTAGGAGCATTCTCTCACAGCGACGTTTTCGATTTAGGCCATAAGTTATCTCTGTGTTTATGGCGTTAAAAGTGATGGTGGTTCTGTTCACTTTTCGGAAGCCGCACTGAGCTGGGGAAAGGTGAGTTTTCGGCCGGTAAGTTTCCACCTTTTTTGGCTGATTTCCCCGACTTAAGTTGTGCAACCACTCTCTCTGATTTCCACTTATGTGGAAGACAGAATGAGGACCTTGGTGGGATATGCTACTCTCTCCAGACCTATGTCCTCACTGTTTCTGGAGATTGTGCGCCTCGCAGCGCAGAGGGGGATATCCTCTTAGTTTGGGTCTTTTGCAGATCCAGAGCCTTCAAAATGGCTGCCACTGCCTGAAAACCTACTAATTCTCGTGTCAGCAATGTTCATATCCACTCAAACTGGTTATGCTTACCAACATCTCATTGGCTTGTGTGTCACGCGAGCACTCAATTTGTAATTAATCGCCATTCGGTATGTCTGTCCGGATGTTTTACTAAGTTGTCTTATTTAAATGGCGCGCCAGCTCCAACAAATCCGGAAGGTCATGAATTGAAGCATTTAAGGAGCGCTGTCGCACGCCGCCGGCTTCGCCTTAGATATCACTGGTTGTATTGAGGAACTGAGAGCGCCGGTGTAAATGTTTTTATTTTGTTGCATTCAAATGGTGCGCTTTTTATTTTTTGCTATAAATAGCGGTTGTCTGCCCTTACCACGCGACACCACTGTCTGTCCGAGTTGATCACTGTTAAGCGCGCCACTTGAAACGTTTGCATATCGACGAACGCTTGCTTGATATACATTTTATTGCCGATATTACGTCAATGTGCCGCCCTACCCACCTTCTAAGGAAATGAGAAAAAACCAACCACACCGAGAACTGTCAACAGACGCGCCAGACATCCCACCAACGACAGTCGTCCGTTCGATCACTAACGCTTTATGCGAACCGCTAATTCAGATGCCACTTTCGATTTCATTACCGCTTACATAGTAGCTGGCGCTGGCAACAATTGCTCCACAAACCACATTGCAATCGCTGTGCCAACTGCAGCGTCTCAATTAATTAGCCCATTATTTTATATTAGAATTATGCAGTTAATTTGTTAGTAAATAAATTATTCATATTTGACCAACGCCGTCACCGCCGTCACCGCTGTCGCCGCCTGCCGCCCACGACCCGCCACACTGAGATGGGATTTGTCTGTATGTGCTTCTCTTACCTGTTACACTCTGTGTCAGGGCATTAAAATTATGGTTTTTATTAATTACGTCTAAGGTGGCTAATTGGCGCACCGGTATTTCCGAGTAGCTCTGTGATTTTCAATTGCAATGGGCGGTTCGCAATTAATTGCCGCTGCCGCTTACCGTTTACCTGCACCGTTTGTCGCCATTAACACAAACGTTGAGCGGAGTGGCATTTAATCACGTGTTAAACGTTCGACTGCAACCGCCTATTAGCCCGTTACTATTCGCCACAAACTATGTACATATCTATATCAAAGTATGGCTGTCTGTGCGTTAATTATTTTTCGTTTTTTCGACCGTATAGTTCCTGCATAGCAGCCGGATGGAAGGTCATTGCCCGCTTTTGAGTGTCACTTTCATTTGGGCTTTCGCGCGCCGCCTCACGTTTTTGCGCAAACTCACCGCTCGCTTTAGCAGCCGTCCCAAAGAAAAGCCTGTTGGCCAACAGTTTATGGGCTGAGAGTGATGGTGAGGGGCGATTGTGATTACTGACCGGCCCCGTTAAGTCTGTTACTCAGGAGGAAGGTGAGCGCTGCGGGCGATCGCGATTTCACTTTCGCACGCTGCCTCACTTAAAGACTCGCCTTAGTTTTCTCCACTGCCGCCGCCGCTGACACCCCGCGCACCACACCACACCACACCACGCCACATATTGCATTGCGCTCGCAATTACTCTCAATTCAACTGGCTGGCAATATGCCAATGGTTGCGGTTGAGCTCCATTCACGTCGCTCAGTCTCGTCGTTTCGTTTCGAATTGCCTTTTCATTTCAATGGTATGAATGAAGCGGCACTCATTCCGGATCTTTGGACATCACTTTTTCTTGGCTGTAGTTACCACTGCAACAATGCAGGCGGTGCTATTCATTACTCCTCTGGATGCTTATCTTTTTCCAGTTTGATTT